GGGGTACTAACTTTCTAGGGCTGGCCAGAGGAAGAGCCAACAAGAAAACCGAAGAAAACCAGTGAGGTGGGAAAGAAACTAGCACGTGCCATGATGAGATGTCAAAGGGAAAAAAGTTGTTCGAACAGAAGGGGATGGTCAAACTCTATGGAATGATTTAGAGAATACAAGTAAGATGAGGACAAATGACCATTAAATTTGGCCAGGTGACCTTGATGAGCACAGTTCCTGTGGAATTATGGGGCAGAGGCCTGTTTGGGGTGAGAACTTTGGGTGAGAAAGTGGAGACAGTTGCTGTAGACCATTCTCTTGAGAAGTTGTGCTGATGGAGTGACCAATCCTGTAAGATGAGAGACTGTGATGACAGGAGCTAGACAGGAGGGATAACCACAGGACTTCCGTGTTTGAGAGAAAGAGGTGGCTGGGCTCCAGAGGCCACGTGGACAGGTTGTCCATAGATAGGAGCATGGACAGTTCATCCACTGCAACCAAAGGGAAGGCAGAGCAAGATGGACAGATCCAGTTAGGTAGGGAGACTCAGGAGTGCAAGGCTGAGATGTGTATAGTTCTCTCTGTGTTTATTTCCCCAAAGGTACTGGTGAGATCAAGTGCAAGGAGTGGAGTGGGCTGCTGGAGATTTGAAGAGAGACTAAAAAGGGTACAATAGTTTTGGAGACTCGGGAAAGCACAGTGCAAATAAATGGAGAGGAAAGTGGATGGATGATACACCCTTGATATAGAGCTGGGCACCACACTGCATGTCTGTGTGCACATGTACTCATGCCCACTCACAGCCCCCAAACAGGGGACCAGAAGACAGACTTCACAGATAAAGTAGAGAAGGACCTAAACAGCAGAAAATGGGCTAAACTTCAGCTGGTGGACAGAAGACTCTCCACCTGTAGAAACTACACTCTAACCTGAGGAGAGCTGGACTCTGGACCAGCTAGTTCTCTTCTAGGTTTAGATTCTATTTGCAGTCAGTTTCCTGTGTAGACTGAAAACTGGTATGATACTGCCATCTGTCTCTCCACCCATGGATGTGGCATTTGGGAGAAGTAAGAGCAAAGGGCAATATTTCTAAGACTCAACAAGGAGCCTGAAGTCTTTGGTGAGGCATCTGGAGAAATCAAACCAAAAGTAAAAGGCCTGAGGTTTTACAGAGAAAATAAAATTCTCCAGCTTAATTCATTGGGTTGGTCAAAAAGTCTGTTTAGGTTTTTTTTCCATAAAATAAAAGATACATTTTTTTCACCAATAACTTATTGATTTGGATATTTTGAGTATGTCAGCTATCTCCTGCATAGTATAGCATTGATCATTTTCAATTAATGTGCCATTTTGATCACTATCAATTTCAACTGGTCTACCCGATCTTGGAGCATCATCCAGTGAGAAAGCTCCAGCACAAAACTTCTCAAACCACTTTTTGACACATTCAATCAATCACAGCCCTTTCTCCATAAACTGCACAAATACTCTTTTTTTTGCATTTCAGTTGTATTTTTACCTCCCTTGAAATAATAAAGCATAATAAGCCAAGAATGTTGCATATTTCTTCCATTTTCAATATTAAAATGGCTACACCAAAATTCAACAACTTCAATTTTTTAATGCACGCTGATATGACAGCTGTCACAATACAATTTAACAAAATTGTCTCAAATAAAGTTAAAGACAACTAAGAGCTACTAGAGCCTTCTTGCAGAAAAAAACAAATGAACTTTTTGGCCAACCCAATACATCAGTCAGGTTAGCAACACACTTTATCTACAAAGGGAAGTGTGTTGCGTTCTTATTGCTGCTGTATCAAATCACCACAAACTGATTGGTTTTGAACAACACAATTTTATTACCTTACAGTTCTGGAGCTCAGAAATCTAAATATGTTGACAGGGCTTCTGGAGACTTCCAGGGGAGACTATGTGTCCCTGGCTTTTCTAGCTTCTACAAGCCACCTGCATTGTTTGGCTCGTGGCCCCTTGCCCCATCTTCAAAGCCAGTGCTATAGCATCCTCAGATTTCTCCCCAGTCTGCCTCAGCTTCCTTCAGGCTTTTCTCTTTCTCCGCTAAGGACCCTTGTACTTATGTAGGGCTCAGCCATAAAACATGGGCCAATCACTTTCTCTCAAGATCCTAAATTTAAGCACACCTCCAAAGTCCCTTTGCCATGTAAGGGGACACAGTCACAGGTAGAGCCTCTGGGTGAGGACACCTGTGTCCAGGGAGGGAGCATTATCCTGTCTACCACAAGGAGTCTCCTGCTCTGCCCACCAGTAGGACTTTCACCTTAGTTAAATAACTTCATCTAAGAAACCCAAACCCTCCTGTTTCTCTTTCTAAACCTGCATCTTCAGGACTAATTTATTTTCACAGAGGCACCAGACACCTTTCCCTCTCTTGTCTTTGCTCTTTCCCCATGTACTAGGCGGTAGCCTGAAATTAAAACCCTGCATTTGCCTAAATCAGCCATCTAAAGCTTTTATTTTTCACCTAACACGGAGGATAATAGGATCTAGAGCTTTTTACAAAGAAATTCTTTGTAAGAAGCTCTCAGGTCAAATGTGAACAAGGTATGTTTTCTCTGTTTTGTCATAGGATTTCCTTTGCATTTTAGATACTTGAGACTTGAACTTCTGCTGCATAAAACATTGAGGGTAGACATCCTTTCCTAAAGCTCATGATGTAGTTCATTTAGCAATTCATATCATCCTCATGTATTATTACATTCCCAGAAAGTGTTGATTCATCCATGACTGATAGAGCATGTTCATATCACTTGTCAACAAATTGCATGTTTAAGAGTGAGTGTGCGCGGCTGTTGCATGTGGGTCACCGGCCAGCAGTGACCACGGAACACTGTGGATGGCTCAACGATAAACACGCGAGAAAAAACAACGTGCACAGAGACAGACTAGTTTCTGTGGGGAAGTAGGGACGAAATGGCCACCCCCCCTAGTGGGGAGAGCGCTGATTTACTGTCCATACCTGCTTTTATTGGGCTCATTTTGCATAATAATTCAGGTAAAGTACAGTACTCATTAGGGGGAAGTAAGGAATCATAGAAGACAAAGAACTCTGCCGGTCTATTGAGTTGGGGGTCAAAGAGCTGTAAGACTGAGGAACAGAATAACTTCCTCCTAAGACCCTTCTCATTCAACTGAGAGCACTCTAAACAAAGAAGGTTTCACAGTAATTTACATGTTCTTTCTTAGGCCTGATCACCCTGGGGAATCCGCACTTCTCAGTACCGAGCTGCACCACCCTGTCATTGTTTCAGGCTTAGGTGGAGAAAGGGAACTAAGGCAACTGGGAGACAAGGAGGTTTTTTCCCAGATGCTGAGAACTCAGGCTATTGTCAAAGCCGAGGAGCAAGGGTCCATCATCCACTTTTGCTGCAGCCCCCCAAGTCCTTCTTTTGGGGGGCCTCCCAAAGTGATCATGCCTGTCTTAGGTTGTTCCCCCCGTGGGGAATCTTACCCATCTTTGGCTAACCGACCAAGCTTTTTGGGGTTCAGTTATGAATAAAGCAGCAGAAGCAGCATTCCTGCCAGGAAGATAAGCTTTTGTCTCCTTGCTGGCTTACGGTTCCAAGGGCGTTCCCTTAGCCTTAGCCTAGGTGGGGGTTTCAGCTTCTGATACCAGTCAGGGCGGTTCCCAACACGCGGCCATGAGGCTGTGTGTTCTGTAAGATTCTACCTCAAATCCTGGAGGGAAGATTCTTGTATGTAACTTCAGTGTGTGGCCTTGCAGAAGTTATGTCGCCTCCAGAGTCTGGCTTGGCTGCTGTGTAAACAGTGACGGATTATACTGCCTCTCTGCTGACTGGGTGCAGACTACCTGACTTTTGTTCACAAAAAGCCTTATAATAAATACCAAGCAATGCCAAAAATCAAGATTTTGCCTCACATGATTTATCTCTGTCTCTATAAATTTCCTCTCTTTTAATTAGATTTGATGTGCCTCATTATTTCTCATTTAGAATCATGTTTGAATTTTGCTTCCAACCATTTTATATTCATTTAAATATAAGACTGTTTTCCTTTTAGTTCATGAAGAGATTTCTATTTGTGTCCCATGCTTTTTCTTATTATAATAAAAAATACTATTTAGAAATTTAAAGTTCTCTTGCTCTATTGGCTGATGCATGCATGCAGAGAGATACCACACTGCCAATTCTTACTAGTTGTAGTGGCCAGGGTTCTGGCCGGCAAAGTGACAATACTCTCATAAGGAGCCATTAAAAAGATTACATGGGAAGGGTTGAGAGAAACCAAAAAGGAATAATAAAGCACCTGAGAGCTGGTAGCAGAAGGGCATCCTGTATCCACCTACACCTCAAAGGGCAGGGGGAAGAAGGGGTTGCCAGGACCTCACAAGAGGTGTGGCTATAGAAGATTCCAGTGAATGAGTGCACCCAGGGTCAAACTTCCACCCGGGGTGTGTGGGGGGGGCGGGGTGGAGAGAAGGAGAGCAAGAGAAATAAATGTGCTGAACCCTGTTCCCACTCCCTGGTCTCCTGCCAGTGCTTCCTTTGTTCAAACCCACGAGAAAGCCAGTGGGCACTCGAGCCAGTTGATGTGGTCCACAAAGGTCTTTCTCCTGGCACACAGCATAGTGGAGAGTGGAGACTGATCTGCAGAAGCAAACAGAATATATCCAGCAGGGTGGTCTATAGGGAAGATTATTATCCCAAATTAATTTATCTTAGCCTTTAAAGTTTGGTTGTGTGTAAATATACATGCACCCCCATACTTAGGCCCTGGCCCCTTAGGTTCCAAGCACCTTTCTTCTCAGCACTGCTATTGGTGGTCTTGTTGCTATTGGTGGTGCCATTGGTGATATTGAGCTGGCCATCCCAGATCAGCGCATCCTTCTGTGGGTGGAAAGAGTTGACTAAGTTCGAGGTATAGACGTCACAGTGACTATGGAGTTGCCGCGTTGCCAGCAAGCAGTCTTGAGAGTCACTCTCCTTCAGTCCTCCCGTCCTCCTTTTCCAGGATGGAGCTTCAGCATGGGGTCGGCCTACCAGTTTCACAGTTGGCGTGTGTTCGTGATTGTCTGCGCCCTCCCCTGTGTCTGCTCAGTGGTGGCCCTCACATTCATGCCAGAAAGCCCACGGTTCTTGTTGGAGGTAACACTTACTATTACTTATACTCAAGGAAGCCACATTTGTTGGAAGAAGTTGCTTGTTAATTCTCGGGAAGTCTGTTGACCTCTTTGGAAGGTGTACTTCTCCTTCCGACTCTGGCACTATGGAGGGTTTGGTGTCGTGGAGACATGCTTTCAACCACCAGCATGTGGGCAAGCTGCCTCAGGGCCAGAAAGCACTCACATTTTTCCTCAAGCAAGTAACTTTTTGCTCAATGAAGAAAATGTGGCTTATTGTTTTACAGGTGAAATTTTACCACCCGTAGGTGCTATTTCTAGTGATAGTCATGTCCATTGAACTGCTAAGGTACTCAAGGATACCCAGGTGGTCCTTATGTTCCACTGGCACATACCAAAACACATTTGCACAGTGCCACCCAATTGGGTCTGGCAACTCAAGATGGCTATTGGAAAATCAGAGGGTATGTGCGTTTCCCCTCCTTGCACTTCACTGTCTACTTACATTTGTTAGGCTGGAAAACATGATGAAGCCTGGATGATTCTGAAGTTGATTCATGACACCAACATGAGAGCACGGGGGCAGCCCGAGAAGGTCTTCACGGTGAGTACTGCCCCTCAGCGCATCATCTATGCCAATAGCATAGAAACTTTCTGAAGAGGCCAGATTGTAAATTCCTCTCCCTGTACCAGCTCCACTTGTCCTTCCATTCCTCAGACTGGCCATTTTATTAAACCTGAGCCGGCCACACTACTGTTGGATGTGCTGTTCCCTCTGCATGGATGTTCTTCAATTCTCTTGTTACAAAGTTTACTTTCAATGGGAAGCCAGTCTAAATCAATGAAAATTGGGTGCATGGAATTTTTAGAAGGAACACGGTTTTAAAATCTCTTGATATACACAGCATATAATTAGATGAAAAATGTTTTGTCTAAAATAGGTTTCAGGGGACATAATAACACACAAGTGTGACAAAAGTAAGATCTTTAGTGTCTTATAAATAATACCAATTACAGTTCTTAAAATGTGAAATAGTTCCTAATTAAGCAGTCCCCTGATATCTAATTTATTTATTTTATTTTTATCTAGGAAATACATTTTTTGTAAGGTGAAGATAGACTTCAGTCTGGCCTCTATCCAAATTATCACTGATTCTTCACCAGCAAAAACGTTTGTGCAGTGCAACAGAGAAATTAAAGATCAGTAATGGAGGACCTGGAAGCCTCTGACTAGGCCGTTCGTTTGAATAAATGCATATTAGGGAAAGACTATCTCTAAATTAAAGGATCGTGGGATCGGAGGAGTCCTGAGACATTGTCTAGAGGCTGAATATCACTTACCCCTTGTCATCCAGATAGGGTGAACCCTTTACCCACGACTTCTGAGAAGGTGTCTCTGTAGGGCCTCATGGCCCTGCTTACCTGCTTTTCTTTCAGCAGGTTAGAGCTGCTCAGTCCCCTCATGCTCACCTATGTGCCTGTTTTTTATAAGGTGGGATTAAGGTAGGAATAATCCAAAAGAATGGGTAATCTCAAAATCATTTATATGTGATGACTTTCAAAGTCATCACATGATTCCACCATGACAACTTTGTCTTTACGTGTTATATCTACAATACAGAGAATTTGCATGCATTCCCTCAAGGTCTCCTTTTTAAGCCCCTTTCCTTATGCCCCTATCTTAAGTATTGTTCTCCAGGGCTTTATTTTCAGTTAATTTCTTTTTTAACTCTACACACTCTCCTTAGCTGATCTCATATGCTTCTGCATCTCTATAGCCTAATGAGCTCTTGAGTGCCAGACATGCAAGCTGAAGAGCTTTGGGGCCATTATTCTATGTATTATGGGCCCTTTAAATTCTGAACTTCAAAATCTGAACTTCCCACCTTAAGAGTTTCTAAGCTTCTTCCCTGACCTAAATTTATCAGCAAGTACCACTGGTACCACCCAACTAGAGCCCTGAAAACTATCCTATTACCTTCTTTCCTTTATCTTCATTATATAAAAAAATATCACTCTGTCTTATTATTCTCCATACTAAAGATCATTGTTTCTTACTTTCCACCATTACTGCCACTGATTTGGTTCATCCCTCATTACTCACTCCCCTTTGCTCTTGGACTGTTTCTCAGGAATGCCACACTCTCTGTGGTTGCTTAATACACTACTTTTTCTCACACCTCTGCACGTGACATTCTTCCCACTTGGAATAGCCTCCAAAGAGTTTGCACAAATGGTAAATGATATATTCTCCATAAACCCCAGCTCAAACTCTGCAGTTTGTGAAGGCTTCTCTCTTCTCTTTCACTCCCAGATTGACGTGGGTGTTCCGTACAATATGTCTCTCCCATCTAATATAGACTTCCATCAGAGTACTTTTTACTTTGTACAGTAATTGCTCAGAGGGTATGATGTTTGTTTGATGTTTTCATCTCTAAGGGCCAGTGTCAGGCCTGCACCCCCATGGGTGCCAATAAATTAATGAATAAACAAACACTGATGAGGGAAGAAGCCTCCCCAAAGTAATATATTGAGTAATAAGAACCACCCATAATTTAAAATAAATCTAGCCTTGGCTGGTATGGCTCAGTAGATTGAGTGCTGGCCTGTGAATCAAAAGGTCACCATTCGATTCCCAGTCAGAGCACAAGCCTAGGTTGTGGTCCAGTTCCCCAGTTGGGGGCATGTGAAGGGCAACCAATCAATGTATCTCTTGCCATGTTCCTCTCCCTCTCTTTCTCAGTCCCTTCCCCCCTGTCTAAACTAAATTTTTAAAAAATCTAGAGTATCACAAAATAATACCTATCAACACATGGATTATTTTGAGCTGACTCTATTTAGAATCTTGTGTTTAACTCAGACACTATTTTTGTTAAATACAGACATCCTTGTTTACACAGTCAGGCAAAGGTTATTGCCTACCTAGTATAATTTGAAAGGTAGGCAGAGTCCCCAGATCACCTCCATTAAGAGCCAAAATCAGTACCTAGATTCTCACAATAGAAGTGCTGCTTTGGATATAGGCAGAATCTCCTGGGAAAAAAAATTGTTCAAAAGTTATCCCTGGAAGGGGTAATGTGTGCACATTTCTGTGCCTCTCTCAGATTTATCAAAAACGTTGACTAACAGGATAAAAAGGGATAGATCCAACAAAGGGACCATTCTTCCTTCTCTCTCTCTCTCTCCCCTCCCTCCTTCTCTCCCTCTCTCCTTTTCTCCCTCTCTCACTCTCTTCTTCTCTTCTTCCACCCAAGATTCATTCTCAACTTTGAAAGCATTGCTTCTCCTGCCTCTCGGTTCTTTTCCTTAGCAAAAAGCAGCTAACTTAAGTAATAGGTACATCTTTTCATGGCAGAACTCCATCATTCATTTCCCTTGTATGGCTGAAGAATCAGAGTTGATGCTTGCCATCGAAGCTCATCCACTTGCCCTTACACCATGGTCACCTGTAGGTATTTGCTGACCAGTCACTGTGGGTTAGTTAGGCTGTGGGAGAAGGAAGAGAAGGTCATAGTGATGCTCCAAAAATAAAAGTTTGATAGGAAAACTAAGAATTATGTTTAGGGGCTAAATTCATCAAATCAGTAGGTCCCAAAGAAAAGTATGTATAATCACTTTAGTCTAAGCAAAACCATTCTTTATCCAGAAGCTAACCTATCTAATGTTTTATCTGCTAATGTGCACCTTTGTTGTAATGATTCAGAGAGGGGCATTTTGGTTTCATGCTATTTCATTACCACTTGCTCTTCCCCCTTTTCTCTACAGTAATCCCTCCCATTTCTTCTTTATTCCATTCTTTTAGGTGCCATTTGGGTCTGTACACTTACTCCAGCAGTCTCATATATGTATAGAGTGATTATCAAATACCTGCTTTTTTGTTGGAGTCAGCTTTCACTCCCCTAAAAACAATCAGTAAGCCTACTCTAAGCAACTTCAGAGGAGAGAACTCAGCACTTTGCACTCTGTTGCTCTTTATAGGTAAACAGGATCAAAATCCCAAAACAAATAGACGAACTGATTGAAATTGAGAGTGACACAGGAACATGGTACAGGAGGTGTTTCGTTCGGATCCACACAGAGCTGTATGGAGTAAGTAACAAGCCTGCCCTGAATTGTTGGCCAACTTGTTGCATGTGAGGTTGGCCAGAGCAGGGTTGGCTGGACCAATTCCTTCTGCCCAGGACACCTGACTCCTAGAGTAGGACCAGGTAATTGGATCTGTTTGGGGTCATCGGAGTCACTAAGACTTTCGTCTTTGGGAAGGGAAGGTATTTGGCGAGGATTCTTGGCCATGACGTGTGCACTGAAGCCTTGAGTTACTTTGCCCTTTAGCTTCCAGGAAGCTGATAAATGAACATTCTGGTATTTGGTTTTCTGTAGCCTTTAGCTTTGACATTTTAGGTTCAAATGAATCCAGTGCAAAGAAAACTCAACTTCTTAATAATTTGTTGGAGGGAGTGGGGTTCACTAGATAATTGCATAAGTAAACTAACTGTTTAATATTTCACAGATTTGGTTGACTTTTATGAGATGTTTCAACTATCCCGTCAAGGAAAATACAATAAAGCTTACAATTGTTTGGTTCACCCTGTCCTTTGGGTAAGTAATATTTGAATTCTTGGTGAATGAAATCTTTAAATTTCCACACTGTAACTCCCAGTCATGCTGCTTTCATACACTATTTGATGTTGTTAACTTTTAGAAAAGAATTTTTTCCAGCTTGGATTTGCTAACAGTTATGGTTTTATCACCCAATAATTTTACTTATCTTGTCATAAAGCTGAGGTGGCAAAACCAATAGTATTTGGAAAGTCCAATAAGATGCTGAATGATTTGCCCCCTATGACTTCTCCGCCCTCCTCTCCTCATGTGCTTGGCCCCAGCCACACGGGCCTCTTTGCTCTTCCACAGGCAAGAATAATATACTCCACTTTCAGGTCAATAGGATCTTTGTGACTGGTGGAGCCCCACATTTATGTTGCAAGTTCCATGCCTTAACATCCCCAAATGACAACAGGCAAGTCATCAGATAGGACCAATCTTTCCTAGTGCTGTGAGCTGAGATAAAGGGACGAACAAGGAGAGTGGTGGTCAGGAGACCTAGCCTCTTGTTCTGCGTGGGACTTGGGGGCATTACTGAGTGTTAGTTCCTCATTTCTAAGTCGAGAGGGTTGATTTAGAATATATAAAGTAAGTCTCACCCAAGTTTTAGAAAACCTATTAATCTATGAAGGAAGAGAAGGGTGAAATGAAGTGCCTACTATGTGCTAAACACTAGGCTGAGTGGTAGGTAAGATGAACACTCTACTCTCAAGCTGTGAAGAGTTATATGATAATAATTATTTGTTTTGTTTATTTTGGTTAATAATTTATTATTACCCATATTTTAACTTATGATTTCCTTACTGATATCCCTGAAACCTCAGACAATGTGTAGCATTTAATGGATGTTCAGTAAATGTTTGCTGAGTAAATGAAAACTAGACTGAAACTCCTCACGTCATTCATTATGGACATTCCAGAGTAGCATGGAATGGAACACTACAGTGCTTCCTCATGATTTCTGTTGTTACAGTTTTTTGTCCTATGTATATGGTTAGAGACTAATGCCATAGATGTTGCATCTCTGAGTCATTTCTTATTCAGTGGCCACCGCCCCTGCTTTCACAGTGCTATAATTCGTGGTCTATGAAAAGAAGGGGTTGGAATCTGTGGACTGCTGAGCCAGAGGTGTTTCTAGAACCCTGATGACAGTGATGATAAAACTACATATACTGTCTTTTAAGCACTCCCTAGCCACTAGCTACTCTGCATCCCATTTAATCTGAGCAACCACCCGTAAGGTGGATACTATCATCAGTCTGGTATTGGAGACGTGCTAAGTGAGGCTGAGATAACTGGCTGGAGATCACACAGCTGTTTAGAGGAGAGGCCAGGATCCGAACCTAGCAGTCGACTTGCAACAGGATAAACTAGAACAATTGGTCTCAAACTTGAGTGCACATCAGAATAATCACCTGGAGGACTCCATCCCTGTAGTTACTGATTCGGCAGGTCTGGATGAAGCCTGAGAGTTTGCATTTCTAACAAGTTCCCAGGTAATGCCAATGCTGCTGGTCTGGAAACCCCAATCTGGGGACCACTATTTTAGAGCATTGTTGCCCAGTAGAAACATAACATGAGGCACACCTATCATTTTAAATTTTCTGGCAGCCAAATGAAGAAAAGTCAAAGGAAACAGGTGAAATTTATTTTAATAATATATTTTACTTGACTCATTTTGTCTAAAATATTATCATTTCAACATATAGTCCATATGATAATGATTGATGACTTTTTTTTACATTCTTTTTGTTAGCCTTGGTGATATTTTATTTTTACAGCACACTTCAGTGTGGACTAGGCACATATCAACTGCTCAGTAGCCATGTGTGGGGAGCGGCTGCTGTCCTGACCAGCATGGCACTGTGACTCAGCTGCTCCCTGTTAGAATGACATGTTAGAGTCCAAGAGGCAGAAAGCAGAAACAACCTGGGTTTCCAGATGATCACCCAAATGGCCATTTTGTGAGCCTTGAACTGCTTTGAGAAATGGGGCTCTACCCCTTGGCTGGAAGTAGAAGAGTAGGGTAGGAACAAAGAAAAATTCTCCACTTATAAAAGAGGTCATTATTTAAGGGCTCTCATGGTTTTTCAACACCAGGAGTCTGTATCACTGGACTGGGAGATGGGGCTCCTTGGTGCCGCCCGGGACAATGAGAAAACATCAGGAACCGGGTGCCACGTATGGGTACAGTGTGGGATTCTATGCATGTGTCCCCCCAAAGTAAGGCTTCAGGAATGATATTCCTGGGATTCTCCAGGGAACCCCAGGCCATATGTCTAGCTTGATTTTTGCAGACTTAATTGTGGTGGGGAGAGAGCCATGCAGATTACCGAGTGATGAATCGTAGTGCTTTGGGGGGCCAGTCATCATCAGAGGGAATGCTTCTCGGGAACCACCAGGTCTCGGAGTGCATCAGGGCCGCCTGCACTGCCTCTGGTGTGTGCTGGCATCTTTACCAACTCACATTCCTTTGTCTTCGCAGGTACTATGGATTATCTGTATGGTTCCCTGATGTCATCAAACATCTGCAGTCGGATGAATATGCATTACTAATTAGAAATGTGCCAAGAGAGAAATATGCAAATTTCAGTATTAACTTTACAATGGAAAATCAGATTCATACTGGAATGGAATACTACAATGGCAGGTCCAGAAATTTTGAAATAATTTAATATGCTACCTGTTCACAGAAACTTATTGCTTAACTAGCCTTCACTGCACTGAAACATGCATAGTTTTTGTCTTGTTTTTTTTTTTTTTTACTTTGTACATTTAGTCATTTTCTGGCAGAATGTGAACACTTCCAAATGGGCGTTAAAGACAAGAGATCAGTTATTTCACTTAAAACTACTTCTGAAACTGATATGAAACAAAAATTTAGAGAAACCCTAGTGAGAAAGAAAAATAAATTATAGAACAAAAGAATGAAGAATATGAGAAAGTAACATGGATTATAAGGTTATTTGGTTCAGTGAAGAAATCTGAAGTGTAATTTTTTGCCTGTCTTCCCTACCTAAAAAGGGGGACTACTTTTCAGAATTCCTTTTTCTCCATGATGCTAATTCAAAAATTGGGGTTAAATTTTATCAGGAAGAGATTCAGTTAGAGGACAGAAATGATTTCCAAAGTTAAGGGCTTTGAAAATAAGGAATAAGTTTGCAAAGGATATTTTTGAGCATGGAATCTGGAATGCCTCTTGGTGAAGACAGACAAGTGGCTCAGGAAGGTGATTCTGGTTCATTCCTTCAGAAAAGCAAAGGGATGGATAAGGTCATGACGTACATCCCTTATTTGTTGTCTGAGCAAATAATCGCTGGTATGAGTTCCTGGTGATTTACATCATTCTTAGGAAATTGTCCTAATTTCAAAAGCAATAAAAGTGAAAATCTAAAATAATCAGTTTCCCCAAGCAAAAACCAGTTTGGAAAGATGAGAAAGAATTCTGTGGGATGTTTATGGTGTACAGTGAAAAGGAGTATTACCAGCCAGGACGTAATTGTTTGAATTGACAGTTCAGGGAGGGGCCTGATCCTCATCCCAGCCACAAAGAATCACCTGTACCCTCCCACAAAAAATCCTCCCTCAAACCGGCACTTGGTTTTCCACAGAATCCTTCGAGTCAAGTGCTCTGTGATTCTAGGTTGAAAATTTACTTCATTGATTTTTTTTAAAATACTGTTACTTCATTAGAAATTTATAACATATGTTTGCATGTCTGACAGTCATATTTTAGTAATACTTGTTAAAATTTTAAGATGGATATTCAATTATGACTAAGAGATATTTTGTATTAGCAATATAGTGATTAATAGTTTTAATAGTATTAAAATCCTTATAAAACATACATTTACTTTAGAAGGTGATCGAACTTTTTTTAAAAGATAGCTTTTCTGTTTCAACATATAAAATGGCAACTCTGCATGTTCTGGTACGGATTAAGGCCACAGGTAGACTTCCAGAGACAAAACGATTCGTAGAGTAATGTGTCTCGTTTGCGAGCTGTCCCTGTGCAGATTGCTCGTGGAAGAGCACACGGAAAACGGACAACAGCGGTGGCTTGAGGATAGGTTGGAAAAAAACTTACTCTTTCCTTTTTCAATATTTTAATTTTGTACCTTGTGTACTCTGTGTATATATTATCCATTCAAAAAATAGTTTTCCTTTTCTTAATTCAGTTCCATTTCAGAAAAACAACTAATCTTTCAGTACACATCCTCCTTCAGAGGATAAATTTACAGTTTAGATGGTTTTTCTTTAGACCGCTAGAGCAAAGGGTTGACACAGGATTGTTTTTTAAGTGGACTGGTCTGTTAGGCCACAGTGCACGGTCAATCCGTAAAGTGAGAACAATTTTGAAAGTACTACTCAGGAATTAGTGCATTGCTTTTAAGTCAGTGATCTCACGCGCCAAGGAGGATTAGTCCCTTTCTGCCCCTAATAAGGATGACAGTTGATATCAAAACTTCTTCCTCGATTGAACAAGCATTTTCCTCCCAGTGACTAAGTATACACTCAGTGTCTCTTAATAAATTACTGAGACACGTTGTTGAGTGGTTATCCAGGTCTCCTGGGGGTCCTTATCAACACAGACAGATCTGAGTCACAGACTCTTCTTAGCTGTTGGGATCATTATGACTTATTATTACCACCTTGAGCTCGCTCCTGCAGAACCCAAAACTGTGGGTGAGCCAGTTTCATCATTCCTCATGTTTCCAAAAATGAGCAGAGCTCTCGCCATCCCACTGGTGCGAGGAGCACCGGTGGGCTCTGAGAAGTATTCTTGGAATGAGTGTGACCTATGAGTTTCCTGACCCCTGAGTCAATCATTCCTTACGTAAATGAAGAATTCTCATGTTTTCCCTTCAGGGTGATCCTATACTAGAATGAAGAAACCTTGGGTTTTCAGTTTAGGGGACAGATTTCCATTAAAAGTGTATATGGGAGCACATCCTAGAGTTCGAGCCATTAACCCCAAACAGAGAATTTTCCAATGAAGGCTCCTGGAAAGGAGCAAGAAGATAAGATTCAAAAATAAAGAATGAATAGCCCTGGCTGGTGCTATTCATGCTCAGTGGACTGAATGCCGGCCTGTAAACCAAAGGGTCACCGGCTTGATTCCTGGTCAGGGCACATGCCTGGGTTGCAGGCTGGGTCCCCAGTGGGGAACGCGTGGGAGGCAACCACACATCGATGTTTCTCTCCCTCCCTTCCCCTCTCTAAAACTAAATAAAATCTTTAAAAATAAAGAAATAAAGAATAGCCACAAGTAATCTCCAAATTTTCTACCTGCAGTTGCAAACCCCTAAAACCTTTTCCCAACAGTGCAAAAAACTAAGTGAAGTTATTTCGAATGCCATCTCATCTTCTGGTGGAAAATAAGCTTGGTGAGCAATGGATAGCCAAAGGACAGGCTGCCTGAGGAAAAGGGGGGAAAGCTAAGATCTTAGAACACCCAGAAACTAGCATCCATAATAATCAAGAGGCCATAGAGGAGCACCCCATGTCTAAGCTGTTTGACTTTGCTCCGAACCCTGATGGACAATCATTGATGTGATTCTTTTGTGTGTTGAGCAGATTCCTGGGGGTCAAGTTCAAATCTGTAACCTTTAAGGATTCGGTTTTTAAGGCCTGCACCTTTGAGGACGTGACTTCAGTCAACACCTACTTCAAGAACTGCACGTTTATTGACACTGTTTTTGACCACACAGGTATGTGTGCTGCTTAGCCCGCTGAGGCCTCTTCGGAGGGCCCGGTGCTTCGCACAGGTGTGATACCCGTGTGACAGTGCAGGCAGGGGCTTCTGGGGAAATGGAGATTAAAGTGTAAATTAATGGATTCCCTATATCAGGTTGCATCAAAGTTAAGTGCATATTGTTTGTTTTTGTTAGATTCAATACAAATGGGACTTGCTGAAGTTCAAAGTTGAAAAATAAATGGTTTGGTGAATAATTTTTATATTTTTAATTATATTTTATTGATTATTTTATTATAGTTGTCCTGATTTTTCCCCCTTTGTCCCCTCTCTCCCCAGCAGCCCCTCCCTCAGGCAATCCCCTCACCATAGTTCACGTCCATGGGTCATACATAGGTTCTTTGGCTGCTCCATTTCCTATACTGTACTTTACATCCTCATGGCTATTCTGTAACTACCTATTTGTACTTCTTTAGCCCCTCACCTCTGGTGAGTAATTTTTAAAGCAAAGAATTAACCTGTAGTTTATTTGTTTTGATGGTCCTTATTTCTAAACCTGGTGTTTGCTTAAGTCAGCATGCTGAACTACAGCCAGCAGAGATGGTGAACATATGGCTAATTTATGCATATTTTGAAACAAATTGTTTCTGTAATTGTTGTATGGAAGCCATTAGTACTGTAATGATAGTCCTTATGTAACATAATTAGAACAAACTAACATCATAAAGGCATAAACAAATACTAAAATTAGCAATGGTCAATCAAAAGAAATCCGAAGATAACTGGATTCTTTAACTTAATTTATTCCGTTTTTCAACAAAGCTATTCATTCAGCGGTAGTCATGCCTCAGTGTCAGGGGGATTGGCTCTAGGACCCCTGTGGATACCAATGTCGGTGAATGCTCAAGCTCCTTATACAAAATAGTGTAGTATTTGCATAACCTACACACATCCTCCCATAAACTTTAATCACCTCTAGATCACTTATAATATGTAATACGATGTACATACTATGTAAATAGCTGTTATACTATATTGTTAGAGAAAACAAGAAAAAATATTTGTGCGTGTTTAGTGCAGATTCATCCATCGTGGGCCTAACTACATAGTACAGATCAGCAATGACATAATATATACTTTTTCAATCCACAGATGTGGAGGCCACGCATACAGAGGGCCAACCATACTTCATAATGTATCACCCTAAACCTTGCACTTGGGCCCAGCAAAGACACTGAAAGTCAAAGCATCCAGGCCTTGAGCCCTCCAGAAATTCACAATATCATGATTCTTTTATGAAGTTCATAGGCTTTCTTATACTGGTGTACAACCATTAAGAGCTTGATGAGTTATCTTTCTTTATATTCACAGATTTCGAGCAATACAAATTCATTGACAGTGAATTTCAAAACTGCTCATTTTTCCACAATAAAACGGGGTGCCAGATCACCTTTGATGACGACTACAGTGCCTACTGGATTTATTTTGTCAACTTCCTGGGAACGTTGGCGGTGTTACCAGGGAACATCGTGTCCGCTCTCCTGATGGACAGAATTGGGCGCTTAACCATGCTGGGTAAGTGCTCGGTTCCCTGTGAAACGAAAGCGCTGCCCTGCCACCCAGGGGGAGCCCGCTTCCCACTGTGCCTCCTGCCTCCTTAGGGATTGGCATCCCACCGAGATGAGAGAAATCCCTTAAGACCTTTCATTAAGACTAAATTTTAGTGAAAATTACGTCTAATTACATTTCATTTGAGCAGCCTCCATGAGTTCACAGACTGGAAAACTAATTATGTGCGACTAATGTATATTTTTCCACTTAAGCAAGTGAGTAATTAATGATGCGCATTTCATGCTTGCTGTGTTCAGAAGGCAGTTAGGGAGGCAAACCCTTCATCCAGGTGGACATACCCGTACCTGAGCTTTGTCGAGCCCAGACTGCAGCCTCCCCTTGGGGTCTGTGTTGCTGGGAGGTCCCGAAGACCCCAGGGTCTTTGCTCTGCCAAAGTGACAGGAAATATCCCAGCCTTTCGTCTGCTTTTTCGGCAGGTGGCTCTATGGTGCTTTCGGGGATCAGCTGTTTCTTTCTTTGGTTCGGCACCAGCGAGTCTATGATGATCGGAATGCTGTGTCTGTACAATGGATTGACCATATCGGCCTGGAACTCTCTCGACGTGGTCACTGTGGAGCTGTACCCCACGGACCGGAGGTATGTTGAACTGGGCCTCTAGGAAGAGGCACTCTGAGCCCCACAGGACCACTGAAAAGTTGCAGAAAATAAACCAAATTGTCATGTTTCCAAGGAAGTAGAAATCCAAAAATATCTGGCATGTGAAGTTGTAGGTTGCACTTGTACAGTCGAAAAGGGAAATGTTGGGGAATGCAGCTGCTAGCAGGATTTAAAGGGACAGTTATTACTGGTGATGTGGGCTCTCCTTTCCTGACTTTGTGCAGGAAAGATTTCACAACACAAGTCCAGGCGATTTTGAGAGCACATTTATTAATGCTGGACACAGTGAAACAAAGGAAGAGCTTAACATAGAAGAGTCAACAGGAGTGGGCCTAGGAGGAGCTGCCTGGGCCCCTTGGGAATGTGAGGAAGAGTTGAGCCTGGACCTAAGTGCATTGGTCCTTTAGGAAGAAAGTCACAGAGGCAGGAAGAGTGAGCCAGCCAGGCTGTGTGGACTCAGGAAACACGTTGCTGAGGCCCTAGGAGAATGAAGGCAATGATACCTGCCTCAGGAAAGAAGTGGGGAAGCACAGGTGTGCTCCAGAGAGAGGGAGAGAGCCTGTGTCACGCCGAGTCCCTGTCTTCAGGTTTTTCATCTGCTTTCTAAAGGCAGGAATCATAGGGGAGGTCTCAGGGAAGGATCTCAGTACAATACTCATCAGCCTCCCAGGTGCTTCCATCAGGGTCATGGCCTCCACGGAGGGTCTTGTTACAGAACACAACAACAAGGGGGGCCTGGGACGATATGCTATTATTGAAAGAAGGCCCTGGGTCCGTTATGTCCGCCGCCCTAGGAAAGACGTCTCTCAATGCCAGAGATTCGTGAAAAGGAAAGGAAATGTTTATTTAATGCTATACAAACTTAAAGTAGTGACCTAATGTCTTCACCAAAATCCCAAAGTCCCTTAAAACACCCACAAACAGACACAGTCCTTCCTTCCTTCCCCCTTTGCCCAGTCTGGGGTACCATATCTCAGGAAAGGAAATAGAAGTCCATGGCTCAGGCAGTCCTCTGGTTCTCCCCAGTTAGTATTCCATCTCGACTGGGAGACCTCCCTGGGTTCCCGGCACCCTCCGCTGAGTCGCCGGGATCTCTGCTAAAACCAGGTGGTGGTTCCCCTTCTAAAGCTGTGGGGGTCCCCACTCTGTCCAGGCCACGTGATTCTCCCTCTCAGGGATGCGGGAGTCTTCACTCTGCTAAAGCTGTGTGGCTCTCTCTCCAATGGCCATGATCCTCTCTGCACCTCCACAGCCACATGGTTCTCTCTCTCTCTCAGGGCTGCCACATGGTTCCCCTTCTCAGGGCTGCGCATGGCTCTCCTTCCTAAAGCAGCATGGTTCTCCTTCTCAATGGCTGTCGCCTCTGGGTTTAAATCCCCCGCACCAATCTTCTGCAGCCCCATTTCCGACTCCTCCTACACTTGGTCACACTTGCCCTCAATCTGCTGTCTTCTCCAGCTTTTCTGGTCGCCATTGTGGGTCTGGGCAGGTGTCACCCCATGTCATGGAGCCAATCTTCTCCCAGCTCCCACACAGGCGCTGTAACTCAGGGGACCTGCCTCCCAGGTGCCATCTTGGGGGGGGAGGTCCCTTTCCATCCCCCTGGCCTTGAGCATGGCCATAGCTATTTAGCATATCTAAGTGACCAGCCAAAGGCTATAGGTATGCTAAATGACCATGCCATGGATTAGCTGCAAAGCTGCCCTGCATGTTCTTGCTCTGTGTGCCCCTTCCCCCCAACTCACACCTGTGGGGGAAGGGGTGAAGACACCTTAAAATCTCCTGGACACCTTGAGTTCTGGACCCCATTTCAAATGCCTATTTGGGGTCCCCCCTCTTGGCTGCACCCTGTAACAGTCTGGTGCCGGGGCAGGGGGTCGTCAGTCAGTGCAGCGGGTCCTAACACTGGCCCTGGCGTCGCATCATCTGGTGTCGCTGTTTTCTGGGCCTGGAGCTGCACCACACCTGAGGCCTGGGTGTCATCTCTAGTCTGACTAGACCTCTGTCTCTGTGGTCAGCGGACCCCAGGCTTTGTTCCCAAGATGATCTGATGTGGTCAGAACCTCACTGTCCTGCGGGCTTCATGCTGTAGGGGAGCGGACATGCAAGGGAGGAGGAGGCCAGTTTGAATCAGCTGTCTGTCTCAGTTTCCCCATTCTATTCACCAAGGAATTCTCCTGGCTTCTTACTATCCTGTCTCACAATGAAACCAGCGAAGGAATGTACTTGTGCCCATGCCGTAGTTTGCTGACTAACAGGGTGAGAAGCCGTGACAAGGCGGTGAGGGGTAGAATCTAACAGCCGGTCTTGGCCCACACTCTGAGCCACTAATCAGTCCTGAGCGGGTCCTTGCCTTACATTTGCAAGTGTCTGCATCAGCTCTGCATTAAGCAAGCACAGAGAGGTGTCTTCCTGACCTTCCTGATCTATTGGATGAAAAGCCCAACGTGTTTCCAGTTACCAAAAAAGGTTGCTAGTAGAAGAAAATGATGTGTCTTGCCCCAAAATGGAGACATGGAGACTTTGTACCTCATATCAAAGAAAGGGCTGGCAGAGCTTTGGCAGCTGAATGATTAAAAGAAGTCCTGTTTTGCCATTTGACATGAGTGAAGACAAACGGCCTTGCCTTTTTCTATTTTTTTGTGTGCTTTGTCACCATGGAACCCCTGGCTGCTGGAGGATAGAGTCAGTATTGTCCGGCTTTTGAAACGGAGGAGGGTTTTCTCCGGCCGTGCAGAGACACTTGGGATATCAATTTTCAGCTGTTGTTGGAAAGGTTAACCGTCAAGTAAGATAAAAACAGAAATTGCTGTTTCTGTTAGTTCAGTTCTTCCAAGAAACAGAGGTCAGGATGGGATTAAACATGCACAGATTTGATTAGGGGAAGTGCCTGTGCGAGAGAAGGTGGGGGGAGGTGAAGTCTGGGGCAGCCGCAATGTGAGTCTGCGCCCCAGCAAGGAGCGAGGATGGGTGGATGGGTGGAGACACCCCACAGCAGCCATCTAAGGAAGGTTTGACAAGGCTGCTGCAGGGGAAGAGGCATGACAATGTCAGCTTCAGAGGGGCCTGCTTGTTCCGGAAACCTGCCTGTCATAGTATTCCTGTCATGTGACGGGCAGAGTGACTCAGAGGTCTGCAGGGAGCATTCTCACCAGCCGCACTGCTGCGGGCTGTCACTCTCCAGCACTCCAGCGGTTGTCACTTCCTTCAGTGATTCAGAGATAACTCGTGCCCCAGAGCAGCATTGCCAAGGCCCCGGTGAGTTAGCTAGTACCACCTACTCTGTTTCAGGCTAAAACCTTCTCTTCTGTCTCTGCCATGTTGCTCTGGGTCACGTCAGGAGCCCTCTGTGGACCTCTGGCTCTGCTGTTGAGAAAAACCCCAGTGCCTTTGTGTGCAAATTCCCTCTAGTCTCTGTATGGAGACAGAACAGATGTCTTGACAAGAATTCTGGTTAGAGGCTGTAATTTTTCCTAACAGAACTTTAGCACTGCCAGCTCCTTGCCCAGCTTCTAGAATCTGCCCTTAGTGACCAGAAGAGGCCACTCTGATTCCAGGCCCCAAGCTAAAAGGTAGCCTCCTGAGCCATTTAACGGCCAACTCCTGTCAAGGGCCCAGTCAGAATGATTACATTTGGGGAACATAGTTTTGCGGTACAGTCTAGGTGCTACAAAAGTTGTAACTTTTGAAAGCCACATATGTCAACCATGTTACACATTTTGCTTTTAATGTTACACCTTTGACTTTCACTAGGGGTCACATTTGCCTTTTCTGTGAAAACACCAATGAGGACAGGACATTGCCCATGACAATCAGCTTGTCCTTTTCACAGAGTCCACCCCCCCATCCCCCACTCCCTGTTATACAGGGGCTTCTAGGACCCCCTCAGAGAAGCTGCTCTTACCTCCTCACTTTGTATTGTTAACCTAAAAATAAACAGCCAGAGTGAGAGGAAACAAGTGTTTATTTGAGATCAAAAGGAATAGCTATTTGTGAGCACTGATTCAGGCAGGAACCCAAATAGTACTGCATTAGGGGACAAGGGGTAAAGAACTTTTAGGTACCTCAAGAGAAGGAAAGCATTTCTATAGGTGCTGATAAGCTAACAGAGTGAAGCTAATTCTAAACAGTGTTTTTGATTTTAATCCAGTGGTCCTTACTCTGGTAATCACGAGATCTGCTTTCTCGTTACCTTTGCAAACATGTCTTTGGGACAGCGTTGCGTTAGGCCCAGTCCAAAGGTTACTTTTCCCTGTTTTGGCATTCCAAGGGTTTGAGATGTAAGACCTGCAAGGCAGTTCCTCTGGATGGCAGCATCGACTCCATTTTAAAGTGGCTCCATATGTCTACTTATTTTACAATATGATAAAAATTGGTCAATTCTTCGTATTTCCTTCTCTGTTGTGCAATCGGGGGTGCAGAGCCCATGTCTCTGCTAAGCCTGCGGGGTCCAGATATTTGCTTTGCTCCTCCTCATCCCTGCTTTCCCTCTTTTATTCCAGTTATTACTTTTGTGTCTTTTATAAACTACTCTAAGTCATTTTAAAAAGAGGCAGTTAAATTTGAAATTAAAGTTGTATGTACTTATTGAGCATCACTTTTCTGGGCCTAAAAAATGAACTAAAAGGATGACTACAAACACAGTCAGCTCTACTTTTTCCCTTTACTCTCCATACTTCACTTCCAGACACCACTGGGCATCTTACAAACTTAACTCAGTCCTGACCTACTACCTGGAGACAGCGTCAGACCCCACAGGTTAGGGACTCAGTCCCACAGAACTGCCCCCCACCTTGAGACGCCACTAAATGTCAGATTATCGCCTGTACTTCTGACCGACTGGCTGTAAATTAGAGTTCCCATGACCCCCTCCTCAGGTTCGTTCCATCATTTGCTAGAATGGCTCACAGAACACAGGGAAATATTTCTTTATGTTTTCTGGTTTCTTTTAAAAGTCTACAGCTCAGGGGCAGCCAGAT